AAAAGGGAGCATAACTTAGAGTAACATATTATACAGGAAAGTTTTATATGTCAAATTGTTATTAGGGCAAGCCGCTTTAGTAACAACCCACATTGTGAAGTCAGCGAAATAACCAAATCACTAAAATCGATTTATTGTCGCGCTGTAAAAATAGTTACGAAAATTGAAACAACAAAAATTTCATTCTCTCCATATATCAAACGGTAATACTGACTATACAAAGAAATATGTATTGGTAAATTTTGTTCAAGCTTGGACATAGTTCATATTTAAACTTTTTGCAGTTAAAAAAAATACTAATTTACTATTGATTTTGTAGTAAGGGTATATTGTTTGAAGAGTTAAAAAACGTACATATTCATGACGATCAGTAAATATCTTGAACAGTCGTGTCAAATTGTAACTTGATTACTATTTTGTTCTATGAATTCATAATGCATTAGATGGGGTATATTATAATTATAAAACGCACATAAATTATATGATAAAACAGATGACATGTAACATGTAAATAAACATTGAATTGCCATATTAAGAAGCTTTTCCAACTATATGAGGATAATCAAATATACATGTATAACAAATCATCAATGCAACGGCTTTACTAGACATTACTAGACATCTATTATCCTCCTGGATTAATAGAACACTTGGATATTGTTTAAAAGATGCTTTCTATTTTGTTTGTGCTAAAACATTTTGATTACAGATTTTATTATAATGTCTTATACTTTCTACATTTATTGCGGATTTTGGCGACTGTGATGTTCAATTAACAACCATTTTTAGATCCAACTTATCAATTTTGCCTCATTTTCATTTCTAAAGAAAAATCCGTATGAAATGTCCTCCATCTAGCATTGTACTCCATCTAGCATTGTACTCCATCTAGCATTGTACTCCATCAAGCATTGTACTCCATCAAGCATTGTACTCCATCTAGCATTGTACTCCATCTAGCATTGTACTCCATCTAGCATTGTACTCCATCTAGCATTGTACTCCATCTAGCATTGTCCTCCATCTAGCATTGTCCTCCATCTAGCATTGTACTCCATCTAGCATTGTACTCCATCTAGCATTGTACTCAGCATTGTACTCCATCTAGCATTGTACTCCATCCAGCATTGTACTCCATCCTCCATCTAGCATTGTCCTCCACCTAGCATTGTACTCCATCTAGCATTGTACTCCATCGCATTGTACTCCATCAAGCATTGTACTCCATCTATTATTGTACTCCATCTAGCATTGTCCTCCATCTAGAATTGTACTCCATCTAGCATGGTACTCCATCTAGCATGGTACTCCATCCTCCATCTAGCATTGTCCTCCACCTAGCATTGAACTACATCTAGCATTGTACTCCATCCTCCATCTAGCATTGTCCTCCACCTAGCATTGTACTCTATCTAGCATTGTCCTCCATCTAGCATTGTACTCCATCTAGCATTGTACTCCATCTAGCATTGTGCTCCATCTATGTTCAATATTTAAAAAAAAATAAAGATCGCGAAACTGAAATAAGACGTGGAATGGTTTAAGTATGTGCTACCGATTCTTTTCCGACGGTTTTCATGTTTGTATTATCCTTAGTTTTCCTAAGGCTTCTGGGCTGCCAGGCTGCTACTTCACAAATTACGAATTGTCAAAAAAAAAAGTTCAATATTTTAAAAAATAAAGATCGCGATACTGAAATAAGACGTGGAATGGTCTAAGTATATGCTACCGATTCATTTCCGACGTTTTCATGTTTGTATTATCCTTAGTTTTCTTTAGGCTGCTAGACTGCCAACTTCAGGCTGCTAGGCTGCCAACTTCACGAACATTCTCGAATGTTGTTTTTTGCAATAAATGCACTAAGCAACTAAGCAAATAAACCTTTTTCTCCAGTTACATCAATATGTCATTAATTGTACAAAAAGCCATATGCTATTTAAAGAAAAATAAAATATCTAAGTCGCATAAAATGATGAAAAGTTGTACTAACTATCAGTGTAATATATTTTCTTAATTTTTCGATTATAAAGCGTCGGTCTGGCAAAATATTTTTATACATGTTCACTTTTCTTCAAATTGCGGTAACATAACGCATCTTTTAAAAATGCAGCTAAACCGACTTTGGTTGATGTTGTTGTTGATATTTCGAAGTTTGTCCCTTCCTCCTCGTGTGTGCAGTGTCAAATTGGAAACGGCGATCTGGTCCGAGATTTAAAAAAATGGCTCATGGTCTCATTTAAAAAAATGCAATTGACGGTAAAATAATTCATTTTCTGGATTGTAAAAGACGATTGATGCATAGAAAAGGACTATGTTTAATGTCAGCTATGGAAGTGGTGTCAAATATCCTTTATATTTTGTAACCAATAAGATACTCATATATCATGTATATACCTCCAGAATTAGACGAAGTGATGAAATGGACAACCTGATAGTTATATATCCTTTGAGCATAAAAATTGTAAGTCAAAATTAAGAACAAACAAGGGTTGCAGTCGAATGACATATCCCTTGCCGTTGTCATTTGTAGAAAAATGCTATTACTCTTTATGTATAGATCAAATCCATTTATATTATCCTTCAGACTGAGGCTAGGCTTCGATTATAGTAGCTATAACAATACATTCAAATAATGTAAAAAAAAAGATTTGCTCAAATTGTTTCACGGACACATGCACAGACAGGTGACATTACCATATTTCTCATCTGAGGATAATTATATTGACAGTGTATCTTTGAAAGAGTCCAGTAAAGGCTTTTATAGTTTATGTTGCGGGGTCTTTATTCTACAGCGGGTTACTATTCTATGTGAGGGTCATTTTTGTACGTGTAGGGGTGTCATTATATTATTACCGTGGGGGTCATTATTTTATATAAAATATTGACCGGGTGTCATTATTTCATGGGGGTCAGTTTACAACGTTACACCGGATTGTGCCTGAAATAATGCACAAAGGTCTTCCTCCACCACTAAAGCTGGAACTTCATAAGGTTTCGGTGTGTGCGGCTAACCCATCATCTATCCAAAATAAATAGATAAAGATATAAATAATTAAGTAAAAACTGTAACCAATGAACATCCATCGTTCGCACCATATTATCTTCCATGATTGTGAGAACAAAGCTGCAAACCTATATTGAACGAGGCGAGTCCAATATAAGGTTTTCATCTGGTTTTTTTGGGGGTTTTTTTTGTTGGGGGAGGGGGGGAGAAAATAACGTTTAAATATTTATGGCTGACATTTCAACTAAAGTAAAGGTTACATGCAAATAATTACATATGCTAAAGTAATGGTCACAACTTAAGGTTTTTGGTCGACTAAAGAAAAGGTCACATTTATAGTTTATGATATAATTAATGGTCAATATTTCAGCTGAACGATATTTCAAATAAATCTTTTTTAAAATAGCCGTTAATTTTTTAAAATGTTAATGCAGGATATAATTGGCCACACAGTACAAATATCATCAGTATTAATGAGCGCTGGACTTAAGTGCAGCGTTCGATACCGTCGATCACGACATCCTTCTCGACGTTCTCAATCGTCAGTATGGTATCTGTGGAGTTGCACTCGACTGGTCGGACTCGTACCTGCGACCCAGGAGTTGTCGCGTAAGTGTGAACAATATAATGTCGTCAGCGCGTGATCTTACGTGCAGTGTCCCCCAAGGAAGCTGTTTAGGGCCGTGGCTCTACCTCGCGTATGCAGGGACCATATTTGACATTGTTACCCCTACCATCTCCGTGTACGGCTTCGCCGACGATCATACTGCCAGCAAATGTTTCAAACCTACACCCGCTCTCGAGGCCGAATCCATTGCGGAACTAGAAGAGTTCGCAACACAAGCAAATGATTGGATGAACAGTAATAAATTAAAAATGAATTCTTCAAAAACTGAACACATAATTTTCGGAAGTGCTCCTCAGTTGCGTAAACTGTCTAAAGATGAAATTAACATCTGTGGTGATAAGATCAAACGACAAAATACGATCAGATATTTAGGGGCATATTTGGACGAAAATCTGACTTTCAAACATCACATCAAGATAAAGTGTCGAACAGCTATGTTGAGCTTTTTTCGCATAAAAAATATTCGCAAATTCCTCACACAAGATGCAACAGAAACTCTTGTACTCTCACTCGTTATTTCTCACTTAGACTATTGCAACGTGATTCTGTATGGTATTTCAAACTGTGATATTGCAAAACTACAGCGAATTCAAAACATGTGTGCCAAACTAGTATTGAATCGTAGGAAAAGTGACAGTTCTAAGCAGGCGCTATACGATCTACACTGGCTGCCCATCAATGCCAGAATATAATTCAAGATTCTTGTATATATGTACAACTGTCACGTTGGAAATGCACCAACTTATTTGACCGACCTGCTTACACCTAAAGTTCAAAAACGTTCTCTGAGATCATCATCATTTTCAGTTGACAGTTATGAAGTGCCTTTTAATAAGTGTAAAACTTTCAGTGACAGAAGTTTCAGTACAATCGGCCCGAAACTCTGGAATGATCTTCCATTAAATATCAGACAATGCTCATCAGTTGATAGTTTCAAGAAACACTTGAAGACTCATTTCTTCAGAGACTATTTTAATCTTTTTTAGTCAAAGTCAGTAAAGTGTAGAAACTAAGAGACAATGTTTTTTCTGCGCATTAACTGTGATGAATATCTGATTTTACAATGTAATTATTATCCAAGTAACATTTGCATGTCTTTTACCATGTCCTTTAATAATATAGCCATATTTTTAATTATTTTAAATAACATTACTTTCTTTTATTTGTGATACCATGTTTTAGATTTAGATTTAGAATTAATTGTTTTATTATTCTTAAACTACATTTATTTATTACTTTTAATGTTCTGATGTGATATTGTACAACGCCATTGAATATGTATTATATGTAGAAATAGGCGTTTAAGCAAATAAAACAGTTTCAGTTTCAGAGTAATCAAATCAAGTTGCTAATGTTTATATATTTCAGAGATCGTTGCAGACGTTATACGTCATTGTGAGTATGAGAGAAAGAAGAAGGATGATGTACTTATTAAACAAGGTGACAGTGGTGACAGGTAATCCCTACTGCCAGTTGTAATGTCAGTCATACAATAAAACCACTTAAAACATTCCGACAAAACAACATGATGAATATTTCAAATATGACTCTTAGATGACATTGGCAGTCAATGTCAAATTATTGGATTTAGCTTAAATTGTTATAACTTCGTTATTTTTGTGATTTAATTTAGACCTGAACACATATTTTTTTTCACAGAACCGACGTTTTGAAAATGGAACAATGCCGTTTACCGCCAAAGTCAGATTATTGTGAAATTGTCATTTTTCGTTATTTATTTACAGAATTAATTCATTCTTGGACAAAAAGGACACTTATGACACAACTGACATGATGAATGATTATGACCGCCAAGGTCAAATGATTGAATTTAGCCCTTTGTTATTTATTTACGGAATTGACTCATTGATAACAAAAGAACTTTAATGACAAAACCGACATGTTGATTAATTCAAATATGAGCTTGTCTATCTACTTTAGGATGGCTTTGACAGAAAAGAAAGAAAGATAGATCTTTAAATGACCTTCACAGCCTATGTCAAATTATTAAATTTAGTTTAAATTGCCATAACTTATTTACGGATTAGATTCACAATTGGACTAAACGCCACATATTATACAACATACATGTATATGTTTAATTATTTACATAATACATCGACCTTAAAATGATATTGCCCTCAAGGTGAAATTGTTGGATTTTGCCGATAATTTCATCATGTTTAACAGTTTTTATTTATACTTGGATGTAGAAAAACTGACATGTTGTGTTGTATTATTACAGTTTACTGTCATAGTCATTTTTATATTTTGCTTAAATAACCGTAACTTCGTCATATAATGGACAGATTTGTTTCATACTGGAATAAATCCACAATTCTGACAACCCCGACATGTTGAATAATTCAAGTATGACCCTTAATCTGTTTATCACCATGTCTGTTAAGATCAAATATGAAATTTCAATTATATTTCTTTATAAGAAAAGTGATTTCCTGTAGAATTATTTAATGCATTATTCTTTCTCCGATGTTTTTGATTTAGAAATAAGAAAATGTCGAGCGTGGCTTCATCTTGGTGGTGGCTTCTGTTTACATTTAAAGTTGTATCATTTTCAACACCTTTATCACTAATACCATTGTTAACATTAACAAGTCCTCTTGGCCTACTTGCATAAGAATCATTTTATTATCGATATAGAGATACCTAATTTACTTATACATTTTTTAAAACTGGTTATAAAAGATACAGCCGATCTTGAGCTTAATGCGCAACGCTGAACATTTCTACCAAATAGCTTTCTTAAACAGACATTTCTATGCTAAAGATCTTACTCGGCAGCTGAACAAAAGTGAAGCTATGATATCATAACTCTTTGAGTACATTACCACTTTTGTTCAGCTGCCGAGTTTTCAATGCCCCGAGAACTATTCATTCAACCATGGCTTACCTTGTTTATACTTCTAATAGAAACTAATGCTTGGATAAATAGTCTTAATAGTTAACTAACTAATCATTTCAGATTTGACAATATCACACCAGGTCTTCATTGAAACAAATTATCAACAATCTGCCAATTAAATGTAAATAAAAAAACTTGTCGTAAATTGTTTCAATGGACGAAGAACCACAGAAATGAAACACTTCATTGATAAGGTTTCGTCGCCGCAGAAATATAAGTACGCAGAAACATAACACCCAGTTCTTTTAGCAAAACTTGCACTATATGAGCCCGCAGAAATGAGTATTTTTATGGTGTAGCTGTTGATTCGTTTAATTTGTGTTTATTTAACAGATTATATATCATACTAAGAGGGTCTGTGTCCGTGTATGTTATACATGATCAGAAAGATAATCCGGCGGATGTGCTGAAGCAAGTAAATGCAGCATGTAATGGTCCTGACTTTGACAGGTCTGAACTAGGACAGTATGTGTGGACAGGAGGTAAAGCATTTTACCATACACATATACAATATCAAACATCATTAATTGAACATGTATCGCTCAAAATCTTCATAAAGTATTTACTTTGAAAATGAAAGTATAATAGTGTCCGTATATATGTATTCTGTGTTTAATGAGGGTTTATTCGCCCGTTAAGGCACAAAAGCTTACTTACGTATTTTTTTCTGCTATATAGGAGAGGGCAAATGCTTTGGAGAAGTTGCTCTACTAAAAGAGGACTGTATACGTACAGCGACAGTAGTTGCTGACGGAGATACAGATCTCGTTATTATTGACCGCAATCTGTACAACAGATCTGTGAAGGACGTTCTCGAGATGGAATATAATCTGAAAACCAAGTTTGTCGAGGAAAACACTTTGTTTAAAACATGGCCTATCAAACAGAAGAAGTTGTTAGTTGTTGCTTTGAAGAAAGAAAGTGCAAAATATGGGTCTTATCTCTTAAGACAAGGAAGTATTGCCGATCATATGTACTTCTTACTAAGGTAAGATTATATTTTGAGCACAAAGTAAATAAAGTAAATAGAAATTGTACCTTATTTATTTTTGAGAATTCAGTTATGTTTTCTTTTAATTTCTTTTAGATTATTGAGGTCTAAATGCATTGTTAACATTTTAACCTTTCTGCAGTGAATTTCAACACCGAATGGTTATAATGTAAGATGGTTTCACCATAGCTTCCCCGAAAGTGATAATATACCGGTATAACGATAAAACTTTTATCAACAGACATATATTCCAAAAGTGATAATATAACACGACAAAATATAACACATCTTAACTCAAAGAACTATAACTTTAGATCTATATTCCAAACGTGGTAATGTATCACGACAGAACAATAACTTTAGATCTATATTTCAAAAGAGGTAATGTATCACTTTAAGATCTATATTCCAAAAGTGATATTATATCACGACAGAACAATACCTTCAGATCTATATTCCAAAAGTGGTATTTTATCACAACAGAACAATAACTTTAGATCTATATTCTAAAAGTGATATTATATCACTACAGAACAATAACTTAAGACATATATTTCAAAAGTGGTAATGTTTCACTTTAAGATCTATATTTCAAAAGTGGTATTATATCACGACAGAACAATAACTTTAGATTAATATTCTTAAAGTGGTAATGTATCACGACAGAACAATAACTTTAGATCTATATTCAAAAAGTGGTAATGTATCACTATGATATCACGGCAGAACTATAACTTTAGATCTATATTCTAAAAGTGGTATTATAACACGACAGAACTATAATTTTATATCTATTTTCTTAAAGTGATATTATAACACGACAGAACTTTAACTTAAGATCTATATTGTAAAAGAGGTATTATAACACGACAGAACAATAACTCTATTCTAAAAGTGATATTATAACACAACATAACTTTAGATCTATATTATAAAAGTGATATTTTAACACGACAGAACAACAACTTCAGATCTATATTCAAAAGTGGCAATGTATCACGACAGAAAAATAACTTTAGATCTATATCCCAAAAGTGGTATTTTATCACGGCAGAACAATAACATTAGATCAATATTCTAAAAAAGATATTATATCACGGCAGAACAATAACTTTAGATTTATATTCGAAAAGTGGTATTGTATCACGACAGAACAATAACTTTAGATCTATATTCAAAAAGTGGTAATGTATCACGACAGAACAACAACTTTAGATCTATATTCAAAAAGTGGTAATGTATAGTAGTATAGGGGCCTCTTTAGCGTCATGACTGCGCATGCGCAGCGGCCATTTTGTTTTCTATAAATAGTAACTCATTTGCATAGAAGAAATGACCTCACTACACATGCGTGGCGGCCATTATGTTTTCTATAATTAGTAACTCATTTGCATAGAAGAAATGACCTTACTACACATGCGCGGCGGCCGTGTTGAATAACAGACGCACGGCGGCCATTTTGGATTATTTTTTAAGAATGACATCATCACGTTATAAATAGAAATAAAAAATATCTCCCGGAAGTTTACGGAGCTGACTCGTATACACGATCTTAGGGCTTAAATCGCGGACATTGAAGGTCAGGTCCTCGACCCTAGACGGGGAGATAATCACCATTATTATAACTACAGATAACCTTTGTATAAATACGTGCTTAACTACACATATTAATTAATAAAATTATTGTTCGAATAAAGTAAAACGGCTTGATTATATTTTTAATATGTTTATAATAAATTCTTATTTATACATTCAATAAAAAATATTACTTATTGACTCCTCGGCGACCCGAATCCAAATGACTGCATAAGTGTATACTCACTTAATGCGCATGCTCGGAGCTATGACTTTATTGGCTATATTTAGATTTGGTCACGAGTGCACCGAACGTGATCATAGTCACATAGTCGAGCGTCTATTTATTTAAGAGCGGATGCATTAACAATAACCTATTTAACTGTTAAAGTTAATCCCCTTAAAGTCGCCACAATGTCTAGCGTGTGTTTATTTAGGGACGGATGCACTAACAATGGCTTATTGAAATGTTAAAGTTAATCCCTTTAAAGTAGCCACTTGGTCTGGCGTATGTTTATTAAGGGACGGATATGCGGACAATGCTCCATTCAACTGTCAAAGTTTATCCGTCTATCCGACATAATTTTAAACTCATTTTGGAAATGAAATGCCCACATGTTTTGAAAACTGATCATCACGAATGTGCAAAATTATAAAAAAAAACTATTATTAATGGTAACTAAAACCGAACAAAAATACAATAGAAAAAGCGTTTTTCGTCTTTTGTGCAACATTTTACGATGTACGTTTTGATTTTTTTCGCATCAAATGATAGACCTGACAGAATGCTTCAAAATAAACGCTAGGTTCTCGATTCGATTTTTAGCCGTTTTCGAGTTATGGCCCATTAGCGGTTTTAAACCATTTTTTTAAACCCTTAGATTTATATGCCGTTTGAAAGATCTCTGCCAGTAGATACAGAAAATGTATTATTATATGAATATATCTTTTACTGTTTCTGAGATAGGAGAGTTTCAATATGGCAGACAAAATCACTCATGCGGAAAAACGCGCATAACTTTTTCGTTTATGAACAAAACATAGTCATGTTTGGTATCAAATTGAAGGTCTTGACGAGTACATTCAGACGCTGTCGATAGTAAAGCTCATACTGAAAGTCAAAATCACTCATGCGTAAAAATATATATTTTGGTTACTAGAGCAACCGAATACGATATGATTTTTAATTGTTGACTACCAATTGGAAGAACAGTTCAATACCTTTAATTTACACCCCCGATTGTCGATTCGATTTTCAACTGTTACAGAGTTATTACGGAACAGCGATTTTTAAACCCAAATTTTCAAAGTTTACAAAACCCTTCAATTTAAATACCGTTAAAAAGATCTCGATGAGTAGATTCAGAAAATGTATAGGTTTTTGGGTCTATCATTATGAGTTACTGAGATATTACAGATATAGACTTAGTGTATTTTTACCACCGATGCTAGATAAAGTGTTATTGCACTAAATTGTTTGAAAATATTCAAACAAGTATGGCGTCCTATTTATGAGCCGATTTAATCAATCTTGGTATCAAATTAAAGGTATTCAAGAGTACTTTCAGACGCTGCTGATGGTAAAGTTCATACTGGAAGTCAAAATCACTCATGCGTAAAATGACGATTCTCCGCTAATTTCTGGACATAACATGGGCATGTTGCATATCAAACTAAAGGTCTTGACAAATGCTATAAGCTGGAACTAACAAACCGCAAGTGAAATCACTCATGCGTAAAAATCATGAAAATAACTAAAATTAGCTGACCCCCATTCTTTACTCCTCGCTATCTAAATCGGCAATGAAAGAATCGCTACGGTTGATCGTAATAAATGGAGTAAAAAAAGCGTTCTGATTGGTCACTGATAAGAAGTATTCTGATTGACTCGAAAGCAGGCTGGACAACCGTTCCTTGCAATGTGTAAAAATACATAAAACAAGTGAGGAGGAGGAGGAGGTGTAGGAGAAGGAGGATGTGGAGGAGGTGGAGGAGGAGTGGAGGAGGTGGAGAAGGTGGAGGAGGAAAAGAAGGAGGAGGTGGTGTAGAAGGAGGAGGTGGAGAAGGAGAAGGAGAGGAAGTTTTTTCCTGTATCTGCAAACGTAAGAATCGTTAAATAAACTTGTAAGAAGGCAGATTTGTTCAGCTTTTATAAATCTTGCTACTAAAATGAATAAGTGTTCTGTATGTAATCAGGTGTTCTCTAGGCTTGACAACATGCGAAGACATGAACGTTATATGCATAGCAGTTACGACACAGTTAAAAGTAATTCTCTATTACAAGAAGTAACTCAAGGGAAAACTTCAGAAAAGATGACATTTCAGCACCCTTTTTCCATGGTTGTTTCCGGACCCAGTGGTAGTGGAAAAACGGAATGGACCAGAACACTGCTGTTATCTAACCTAGTACGTCAGCCGCCTGAACGCATCATATGGTGTTTCGGACAATGGCAACATCTGTATGACGAACTTCAGCGTAAAATACCTTGGATAGAATTTGTACACGGTATCCCCGACTACTTGAATAATCCCGAGTACATCAACGCCAGCAAAAGGAACCTGATTGTTTTTGACGATTTGATGAAGCCAAATGCGAACAGAGAATTGCCGATCTTTTTACTAAAGGCAGCCATCACAGAAACGTATCCATCATCTATCTCACCCAGAATGTATTTCCTCAAGGAAAAGCTTGCAGGGACATCGCTTTGAATACCCAGTACCTGGTATTGTTCAATAATCCTATCAACAGACAGCAAGTAGCGACATTGGCCAAAAGAATATATCCCACATCCAGTGCCATTTTTACGAAACGGTTCCAACAAGCTACGTCGAAACCTTACGGTTATTTGGTAATAGATCTAAAATCCAGTAAACCTGAACATAATCGTTTACGTAATGACATTTTTGAGGCCAGTAATCCAGAACTTAGAAAACGGATGGATATACCTCCGGAGAACCAGTTACACGGTGAAGGTAATTCGTCTGACACGACGATAAATGACGATGATGATGATGATGAAAATGATGATGATGAAGATGCAGATGATGATACTGATAAAGAGCATATAGAGGGTGATGATAGAGGTGTAAAGAGACAAGATTTCTTTATTGGACCTCCTGGTAAGCGTATAAAAGAAGAGCTCAAAGAAGAACGCAAACGTCATGACATATGGGATAGAAGATTTCAGAAACCTTTACGACAGTTTTGTAAAGAACAATTTAAAGACGGGCTAAACAGTTACATAGATCAAGAGTACTCTTTTGATGAGGCTTATGCTCGCACTGCTAATGATGCGCTGCCACATTTAAGAAAGAAGATGAGACAAAATTATGCCCAGTTTTTGATTGACTTTTACGCATTACAAGAGGACCCAACTCAGCAACAAATTCTCCAGTCAGCGAAGAAACTTAGACATCAGCACAACATGACCATTGAAGAATCTATCTGACAAGCCGTTAAACTTAGAAAAGACCTGTTTTAGGCGTTATGGCCCAATCACGACATCAAGGATTGTAATGGTGAGAATAATAAGGATGATGACGATGAAGATCACATATCAGATGAAGAATAAAACAAGAGAGCCATGATGGCCCTGAGGTCGCTCACCTGTATATAGGCCCCCGAAGCGGGGCCAGTTTAAACCCCAGGGCTTTTATTTGAACAAACTTGGAATTAAGACACCCATTAGAAGATGTTTCATGATGTTAAGTTTTTGCTATACACACATAAGGAAAAACAATGACCTTCTCCCCCCCCCCCCGGCAGAGTTAATTTTAACCCAAGGGCTTTTATTTGAACAAACTTGGTAGAAACCCATAAGAAGATGTTTCATGCTAAACATCTAAGCTCTAGCTCATTGGGTTTTTTAAAAGAAGATTTTATACACATATAGTTAAAAACAATGACACCCCTGGGGCGGGGCCAGTTTTCACCGTAGGGCTTTTATTTCAACAATTTTTGTAGACACTTATTAGAAGATGTTTCATGCTTAATATCTAAACTCTAGCTATTTGGTTTTTTTTCAAAGAAGATTTTTAAGTTTTTGCTATACATATAAGGAAATCAATGACCCCCGGGGCGGGGCCAATTTTGGCCCCAGGGCTTTAATTGGAACAAACTTTGTAGACACTCACTAGAAGATGTTTCATGCTTAATATCTAAACTCTAGCTATTTGGGATTTTTTCAAAGAAGGTTTTTTAAGTTTTTGCTATACACATATCAGGAAAATCAATGACCCCCGGGGCGGGGCCAATTTTGACCCCAGTGCTTTTATTTGAACAAACTTAGTAGACACCCATTAGAACATGTTTCATGCTAAATATCTTAGCTCTAGCTCTTTGTGTTCTTTAAAAGAAGATTGTTTTAAGTTTTTACTATATGCATATAGGGAAAATCAATAACCCCCTGGGGCGGGGCTAATTTTGACCCGAGGGCTTATATTTGAACAAACTTGGTAGACACTCACTAGAAGATGTTTCATGCTAAATATCTTAGCTCTAGCTCTTTGGGTTCTTTAAAAGAAGATTTTTTCAGTTTTTACCATATGCATATAGGGAAAATCAATGACCCCCTGGAGCGGGGCCAATTTTGACCCAAGGGCTTTTATTTGAACAAACTTAGTAGACACCCATTAGAACATGTTTCATGCTAAATATCTTAGCTCTAGCTCTTTGAGTTCTTTAAAAGAAAATATTTAAAGTTTTTTCTTTCGGTTGCCATGGCAACCAGAGTTCTGCATGGAATTAAATTCTTTGAACAATTTTTAAAGGTGACCACCAAAGGAACATTCCTGTGAAGTTTGGATTAATTGGCTTAGTGGTTTATGAGGAGATGTCATTTGAAGCAAAAGTTTACGGACGACGGACGGACGACGGACGGACGCCGGACGAAAAGCGATCACAAAAGCTCACCCTGTCACTTTGTGACAGGTGAGCTAAAAATACAGTAAGAATGATCTTTGCTCCTTTACTTTCAAAACACAACATGGGTGTACGATCATAAACAACAAAAATGGGTGCCGTACATAGATGACCCAGAGAAATGGTATCAGCATTATAACGCTTTGAGGGACGGTTACGTGACACCCGATCATAGAGGCCGTTACATTATCGGTAGCGGTAATTCGCGTAGAAGGCTCGTGACACTAGAAACGAAGCTCAAAGAAACGGAGAAAAAGCTTAAAGAAACGGAAGAGAAGCTTCAAAATGCACAACGCCCTGTGGTCAATATGGTAAGCCCCGTGGCACAAGCGGTTGAAATGACAAAGTCGGAAGTAAAACGATTACGTGATTCAAATAAAGAAACGTCAGCGCCTAAGAAGCGTAAAACGGATATTGACTGGACTCGCTTCACTTTTTAAAATGGATAATTACCAGCTAGAAAATATATTGAAAAGATACCTAGTGACAGTGTGTGCGGCTGATGAAATTCGTAAACAAAACGGAAGATTTGTGATTTCAAATACAAACACGAGTGAAGGATAATAAACCAATAAAAGGTTATAAAGAAAAATATTGCCTTGTTATGTATAATGATCCCATGTAAATGTAATTGATTGATATTTTTTACGCATGAGTGATTTTGACTTCCAGTATGAACTTTTCTATCGTCAGCGTCTGAATGTACTCGTCAAGACCTTCAATTTGATACCAAACATGATTATGTTTCGTTCATAAGCGAAAAAGTTATGCGCGTTTTTCCGCATGAATGATTTTGTCTGCCATATTGAAACTCTCCTATCTCAGAAACAGTTAAAGATATATTCATATAATAATACATTTTCTGTATCTACTGGCAGAGATCTTTCAAACGGCATATAAATCAAAGGGTTTTATGAATTTTAAAAAAAATTGTTTAAAAACCGCTAATGGGCCATAACTCGAAAACGGCTAAAAATCGAATCCAGAACCTAGCGTTTATTTTGAAGCATTCTGTCAGGTCTATCATTTGATGCAAAAAAATAAAAATGTATATCGTAAAATGTTGCACAAAAGACGAAAAACGCTTTTTCTATTGTATTTTTGTTCGGTTTTAGTTACCATTAATAATAGTTTTTTTTATAATTTTGCACATTTGTGATGATCAGTTTTCAAAACATGCGGGCATTTCATTTCCAAAATGAGTTTAAAATTATGTCCCAGTGGTAAACTGACACTTCAATAGCTTATTGTTAACCCGCTTTTACTTTAGACGGATAAACTTTGACAATTGAATGGAGCATTGTCCGCATATCCGTCCCTAAATAAACATACGCCAGACCAAGGGATTAACTTAAACATTTCAATAGGCCATTGTTAGTGTATCCGTCCCTAAATAAACACACGCCAGACATTGTGGCGACTTTAAGGGGATTAACTTTAACAGTTAAATAGGTTATTGTTAATGCATCCGCTCTTAAATAAATAGACGCTCGACTATGTGACTATGATCACGTTCGGTGCACTCGTGACCAAATCTAAATATAGCCAATAAAGTCATAGCTCCGAGCATGCGCATTAAGTGAGTATACACTTATGCAGTCATTTGGATTCGGGTCGCCTAGGAGTCAACAAGTATTTTTTTTTTGAATGTATTAATAAGAATTTATTATAAACATATTAAAAATATAATCAAGCCGTTTGCATTTTTTTTAAAGAGATTCTACTTTATTCGAACAATGATTTTATTAATTAATATGTGTAGTTAAGCACGTATTTATACAAAGGTTATCTGTAGTTATAATAATGGTGGTTATCTCCCCGTCTAGGGCCGAGGACCTGACCTTCAATGTCCGCGATTCAAGCCCTAAGATCGTGTATACGAGTCAGCTCCGTATACTTCCGGGAGATATTTTTATTTCTATTTATAACGTGATGATGTCATTCTTAATATAGAATGCAAAATTACCGCCGCGCGTCTGTTATTCAACACGGCCGCCGCGCATGTGTAGTAAGGTCATTTCTTCTATGCAAATGAGTTACTAATTATAGAAAACATAATGGCCGCCGCGCATGTGTAGTGAGGTCATTTCTTCTATGCAAATGAGTTACTAATAATCGAAAACAAAATGGCCGCCGCGCATGTGCAGTCGTGACGCTAAAGAGGCCCCTATACTACTATGTATCACGACAGAACAACAACTTTAGACATATATTTCAAAAGTGGTCATGTATCACTTTAAGATCTATATTCTAAAAGTGGTATGATAACACGACATAACTATAACTTTATATCTATTTTCTTAAAGTGATATTATAACACGACAGAACTTTAACTTAAGATCTATATTGTAAAAGAGGTATTATAACACGACAGAACAATAACTCTATTCTAAAAGTGATATTATAGCACAACATAATTTTAGATCTATATTATAAAAGTGATATTTTAACACGACACAACAACAACTTCAGATCTATATTCCAAAAGAGATATTATATCACGGCAGAACAATAACTTTAGATCTATATTCAAAAAGTGGTAATGTATCACGACAGAACAAGAACTTTAGACATATATTTCAAAAGTGGTAAGGTATCACTTTAAGATCTATATTCTAAAAGTGGTATTATATCACGACAGAACAATAACTTTATATTTATATTCTAAAAGTAATATTATAACACGACAGAACAATAACTTTAGAAGTGATTTTATAACACGACAGACCTATCACTTAACTTATAACACGACATAACTTTAACTTTAGATCTATATACTAAAAGAGGTATTATAACACGACAGAACAATAAATTTATTCTAAAAGTGATATTATAGCACAACATTACTTTAACTTAAGATCTATATTCTAAAAGTGATATTATAACACGACAGAACAAAAACTTTAGTTCTATATTCCAAAAGTAAGTGGTATTATAACACAACAGAACAATAATTTAGTTCTATATATATATATATATATATATATATATATATATATATATATATATATGTATATACATTTTGCTAAACAATGTGTGATGGTTGCCACCTAGTGGGTCAAATTTCTTAAATAAATTCCAGTTAAAATGATTATAAATTCCAAACAATTTGTATGTTTTAAATACGGTATGCTGTTTTTTCCTTATTTAACCGATAATCGCTTCCAATGCGTTGGCCATCTTCCGTACAAGAAAATTGAATTGATTGATGGCCTTATAAAAAGAGATAGCTGGTTCAAACAATCTAATGAGTTTAATTAGTTTTCCTAGACTGTAAGGCAAAATAAATACACTATACACTATAAGTTGTGTGCGGGGACATGTTTGCCACATCTATAACAGTTCTAGTTATTTCTAACACGGTATCTCTACGATTGTGTAACTATTCTTCAAAATCTTTTTTATTGTCTTCAGTGGTGAAATAGAGATAACCTGTGACCAAAGCCAATTTAAGAGACAGTATCCAGAATTATGGCGGGAAATGGAAACACTATTACCGGGACTACTTCCGAGGTAATGCAACCTGTATAAAACACGATGGTAACCGATAAAGCTACCTCTTTCGGAGATATACCACCGTGTATATCCAGCAACGCCGGAATGTGAAAATAACGCACGATTCGTGCAATAAGTAACGCAGAATTGTGCAATAAATAGCGGATACCTGACAGGATTTCGGTAAGTAAACTGGCCAAAATATTTTTTATTTAACCGAACTGAAAAAAATGAATATGTCGCATACGGCTGCGAAGACATTACTCTTTATCCCTCATTAAGATTATTTCCACGAAATTGTTTACTTTTCAAGATCATTCGTGAAAATGATGGCTTGACCACCGTTTTGAGCGAGATTTTGGCGTTTTGTCGACACTTATTAGTACAACAGTGCATATTTTACCGTCTAATTTCGATTTTCGGTAGGCAAGTGACATTTACTAAACTTCTGGTGATATAGAAAATAAGCTGATAAAATGGTATTCAAGCCAGCCATTTTTATAAGGTAACGCCGATGTACGTGAATAGTGCTTCACGGTAACGCCGGAAAATGTGATTTTTTTCATATATTGTATTGAACTGTTACACAGGTTTAACGCCATTAATCGGTGAGTATCAGCAATTTTTTAATAAATTTTTTTGGGGAAACTAAAATTTTTTATACAGAATTTATTTTAGATTGATTGCGTAGAAAATAAAGACACAGTCTCGAACCCGTCCCTGAAACCACACAGCTATAAGCTTCGTAACATAATTAATCTTTGAAGTGAGTACGAGGCAATACGTGAAAAATGTCTTTCTCATAGAAACAACGTGGTAGCAACGGGGTATCAATTTCTCAAAACCTATTGAGATGGTAGTTATGAAAATGGGCTTTGTTAAAATAAAGAATTTTTCATTGTTCTCACTCTTTAATTATTAATTATTTGACAAAGTAAACACAAGGAAGTGAACCTTCATGTCATAGATAGATGAAATCTTCCACAAACACATCTCTTGTAGCTCACCATATACATGTACATTGAGTTAAGAAACCCAAATATATTCAACCTATCTTTAGTCTTTGTCACCCTTTACCTGGTAAATTTATGAATGGTTTTGCTCAGTTGTGAACTTGGAACAGTTCATTCAAAGTCTGAAAGATTGGTATTTGATATTTAATGTATTTGTACAAATGAGCTACCTGATTGAGCAAATGGTCACTCTGTATGGATGTGACGTGTCTCTGTACTCTTGGCCTTTTTATGGTCATTAGTCCTGTAAGTTTTGTAAACGTCTATAGTAATGCCTAGCATAAGTTTTTACGGTAGATTCATATGTTTTTCCTAATATAGTAAGAAACCCCAAGAGAAGGGTAAATCTTTACCCCAAGGGTTATGATTTATTTTACTTTAGCAGAGGACAGTAAGGTTATGCTTTTACAAGTTTTGGGCATTAAAGTTTCTAAGTAAAATATCGTTTGAATATAAGTCAATTCCTTATATAAGAGAACAAAATAAATTAAATAAATAATCCATTTAACAGAAGTTCACCAGGCAATGTGCTACAGCCAAATATTTGTTTTGGTTGGGTTTAACATCACGCCAACACAATAAAGGACATATGGAGACTTTCAAGCTTTACATGTGCTTTATTTCAGGCATAAAATATACAAACACTTCTTCTCTTGATTGTTTTCTATTATTTTTATATTGAGTTTATTTGCAATGGAAGTTTATTGTTCTTATTTTCTAACAAGATTAGACGTGGACAACATGTTTGCAAATAATAATTTATTTCAGGAAACAATTGTCAAGTTTGTCAAAATCTGATTATTATATATTTCTAAATAAGTTACAAAGAAAATACATTGACTAGGTCGCAAGTACAATGTAACTTGATTATATTCGCCGAAAAGAGGCGTTAAACCTGTGTTACAGTTCAGTGCCATATGAAATAAAAAACATTTTCTGGCGTTACCGCGAAGCATTATTCACATACATCGGGGTTACCTCATAAAAACGGCTTGAATCACATTAAATCAGCTTATTTTAATTTTCTATAGCACCAGAAGTTTAGTAAATGTCACTTGCCGAAGTCGAAATTATACGGTAAAATATGCATTGTTGTACTAATGAGAGTCGACATTAAGCCAAAATCTCGCTCAAAACGGTGGTCAAGACAACATTTTCACGAATGATCTTGAAAAGTTAACAATTTCGTGGAAATAATCTTGATGAGGGATAAAGAGTAATGTCTTCGCAGCCGTATGCGGCTATTCTTTTTTCCAGTTCGATTAAATAAAAAATATCTTGCCGCGTTGGAAATCCTGTCAGGTAATTTGTAAACTCGATACCAAATATCGAAATTAGGAAGATGACATGCCATGTAGATTTTATTAAAATTTCCAGACAACATTAAGTTGTTATAATTGTGTTTGAAATGTAGTTGTGGCGGTGTTTCCCAGTTTTAGCGTTGAAATGGACATTTCATATTTTTCCTCCAATTTTCATCGATTCAGATTAAAACTAGAAATGAAATAAGAAGAAATCAGACCAAAACATTAGTTAATAAAGAAAATATAGGATATTTGTCCTAGAAGACATCTCTGTCGTATAGGAGGTAGTCATGTCGCCAATTAGATAGCTCTATCTATGGTTACGTACAAAGTGTCTGATTGTGTATATTTTATTCATTACATTTATCAAGACACAAAAAATTAATAAAAACGGTTTTTTTTCTAATGTAATTACTATATCATGATAAAATATTAACTTTTACAGCTATCAAATTGTTATCGACTCAATTTTTTTTTCACTGTACACACCTTTTACTAAGTAGATTCAATGATAAATGAAGAATTGAACCTGCGCTATTCATTATCGTATTAGTTTATTTAAGAAATAACATCGGCCTGAGAGGTGTATATCGGCTATTTAACACCGGTTTGGAGTTTTGATGCGTAGGAATTGACAACGAAGGCCGTAGGCCTGAGTGGTTAATTTTGTCGCATCAAAACGATTCAGGGGCAGATAACTCCAAAACGAGAACGGTGACCCCAATTTCTTTTCTCGCTTAAAATGTTTATGTTATCATATTCTAATAACATGCCGAGTTTAAAGAAATTCAGCGATAATGAATAAATAAAAGATATTGGTGTTCGGATTTATATTCTTAGTTAGACCATTTTCTATCATTCTAGATAGTTTTCAAAACAAAATTCAACAAAAAGTTGTTTTTATTTATTAGATTTTTAAAACAAAATGGCAAAAAAATTCCCTTAAAATAAATTCATTAGTTTTGACTCCGCCCACTTTCATATCTATATTTCATATTTATTTTTAAAAAAATATGAAATATATTTGACTGATATTAAGAGGATATTTTTTCGTTTGAGTGAAATATGGAATATATTTTCGCGAAACATGATAAAATGCCACATATTTTCATGAGCCGGGACGGCGAGAGAAAATATGTGGCATTTTATCATGTTGAGTGAAAATATATACCATATTTCACGAAAAACGAAAAAATACCCTTTTTATTTTATTTCATTATCAAAGAATACTGGTAACGAAGCCCCTTGCTACGCAACTGCAATTGTACAGCGCGCAATAATATAATAATTGGCGATATTTAGCGCTACATTGTGACGTCACGTAAACAACTATTTAAACGTCTGTACAGCGTTAATGACTGAATTAAAGATATTGGTGTTCGGATTTATTTTCTTAGTTAGACCATTTTCTATCATTCTAGATAGTTTTCAAAACAAAATTCAACAAAAAATTGTTTTTTTTGTATTTAGATCTAAATAATATGGCGAAAGAAGTCCCTTAAAATAAATATGAGTTTTGACTCCGCCCACTTTCATATTTATATTTCATATTTATTTTTAAAAAAATATGAAATATATTTGACTGATATAGCACCATGTTTCATGGGTAAAATTAAATAAAATATTCTATTTATCACATATATAAAATAAATAGAGGATATTGAATGAGTGTAAGTTTAATACTGAATTTATTGCACGAGTTGAATAAAATTATATTATGCGAGCCTCTGGCGAAGATATTCTATTTATCACATACCCAAAATAAAGACTGTTAAAGTGAAATAAGAGTCATTTTTCATCGACGCGCCTATAGTATAACGTTAACATTTAGCGCGTCTTTACACTATGTTTGTATAACGCTAATGACGTCACGTCAAAATATATGCACGGCCGTGCAATACCATATTTACGGAGTCGCAAAATCGGCACGGGTGTGTGATAAAAACAGTAAACTGTTAAAATTAGTAATATTTCAAGGACGCGCCTATAGTGTAACGCTTAACATGAACGCGCTTTAACGCTATGTTTATATATAGCGCAAATAACGTCACGCCAAAGTGCTATTACACTAGTGTAATATCGCTTCTATTAAATGGCTTTATTGAACTCCTGCGCCGCGGTTAATGTGATAAAAATGGTTACGAAGTTACGACCCCCCTTGCATGCTATGCAACTGAAATTGTACAGCCTGCAGTAACATAATTATTGTCTTGTTTTGAACGCGATATTTGTCGCTACATTGTGACGTCACGTAAACAACTATAAAAACGTCTGTACAGTACAGCGTTAATGACTGAATTAAAGATATTGGTGTTCGGATTAATTTTCTTAGTTAGACCATTTTCTCTCATTCTAGATAGTTTTCGAAACGAAATTCAACAAAAAGTTGTTTTGTATTTATCAGATTTTTCAAACAAAATGGCGAAAGAAGTCCCTTAAAATAAATATGAGTTTTGACTCCACCCACTTTCATATCTAAGCATAATATTATATGTTATTTTGGTTTTGGAGTGATATATGTGGATATATTACCTGTCAAGATTTTATATCACCCGAGCCGTTAGGCGAAGGTGATATTTTATCTTGGCAGGTAATATATCCACACATATCACTCCAAAACCAAAATAATAATTTTATTACCCTTCCCCTGCCGAGTTTAGTCGATTTTGATATAAATCATTGCTACTTCTTATGAAACGTC